ATCTGAATTAAGAAGCAGAAAGTTAGCGGCCATCCAGGTCTTTCAGATGGAGATGTTTCACTCTGTAAACACACAAATGCAGTTTTGGGTGTTGTTCCCTGTGTGGCCACAGGATGTCACTGATGCACCACCCTGAAGCTGCCCGCTGTCCGCTCTGCTCGCGGTTTCAGGTCTTACTTGTTCTGTTTGCGCAGCAGCACTCGGATCTGGTTGAACTCGGGTCTCTCCGTCGGCTCTTCGGCCCAGCAGCGCTCCATCAGCTGACCCAGCTCGGGGCGGTCACTCTGCGAGTCGATGGTCGGCCTTAGGCAGGGCCACTCCCCCAGAATCACGCGGTCCACGATCTCTGCACAGAAACAGTTCAGCACATTCAGCGCAGTGAACCTTAAACTACCAGCTCATTGGTAATTTCAGGTGGAGCGCTGGTGTTGGTGCCGCTCGAGGATGAGCAGCACAGTCTCTGTAAAAATGTCAGCAGAGTTAAAAACATGTTTCATGAAATGTGTTGAGCACCATCCTGTTTAACGCAACCTTAAAGTAATACATTTAACTGGTGTTAAACATGGATTTGATCTGTGACTGAAAGCAGACTGTGCAGTAAAACAAGTGACCACGAGCGTCCGTACGAGACAAACAGAACAGCCGACGATGCTCCCAGCGACGGTTTATGGTGTAACACTTTATTTGACTTCTTTATAAATAACATAAAATCCTTTTCAGACTTGTGCTGTTAGCAACCCCGTCAGCATGACGCAGGTTCCCATGGCGACAGCGGGTCGTACCAGAGCGACCGGCTACACAGACGCCGAGTCCTAATGAACGGAAGCGCAGAGACGGGAACGTCCAGTGTGCTCCGTGCGAATAAATCAGAGGCCAGGTCATTAGCGGTGATGAGGCTCGCCGCTGCCGGAGCACGCACCTGAGCAGAGAGCAGGTAAACAGCTTCTGCTCCCCAGCTGCTCTGTGAGCGTGCAGCAGCAGAGCTCAGCGTGCAGCAGCAGAGCTCAGCGTGCAGCGTGAAGCGCTTTCTGTGGTTTGGAGCGAACGCAGAAATGACCTGAGAGGCGGCTGAGGAACCAGCGTGGACGTGCTGCTTGCTCTGATTCATCCCAGCAGGATCGCGGCTTAATCTGAAACCAGGTCGACGCCGATCACATGACCCGACACGCACACCTACAGGTGTGCATGTGCACCATCAGCCTTTAAAGCCGCACACCTGCAGCAGGAACCTCAGAGCTACCTACCTTTAGGGCTGAGCGGGTCTCCCTCCAGGTAGAAGGCTCCTCGTCGAAGCGCCACCTCCTGGAGGATGATGCCGAAGCTGTAGACGTCTCCTTTCTGGGTTCCCTGAGGAGGAGGACACTCCATCCTGAGCAGCTCTGGAGCCATCCACAGCTTCTCTGCAGGGCGGCACAAACAGAGACCTCAGGACCTGAGCTTAAGATCGAAACCTCTTCATGTTTAACATTAAAGAGTTTGAGAGGAATGTGCTGCTAACATCGCTGCCTGACTTCAGGAAAAGCAGATTAACGGCAGAGAGCTGCAACTCACGGGCGTAGTAGGCATGAGCGTCGCTAGCTGCGTCGCTCTCAGACCGAAAGCTGGACAAACCGTAGTCGGTGATCTTTAGGACGAAGCGGTTATCCACGACGCAGTTGGAGGACTTGAGTTTACCGTGGGAGAAGATGACGCTGTTGTGGAGGAAAAGCATGCCCTGCAGACACAGAGAGGAGGACAGCACTGACAACATGTTTGTTATCACAGGTAACGCCACCTGGAGGTAACTTATTACTGTTGTCTTCACTTTGAGTCCTGCCATCATCCAATCAGACACCGGGGACCCCAAAGCTCTCTAACTTTGACTCCTCTGTCCTCGTTAACCTGCTCACTTCCTCCTCGTACTTTCACTTTGATGAGTCCCACATGCATCGCGTCGACTCCACTCCCTGAAACTGCCGTTAACGAGCTTCAGTCCAGGAAGCAGAAACTTAACGAAGCAGAGACTCTGCAGGAAATGGAAACGTACCTTTACGATGTCGTTAATGAGGGAATATTTAAACATCCAGTCCAGAGTGATGCTGTCGTTCTCCAAGATGTCCTGAACACACAAACAACCAATAACCTGTCAGCGGTGACCTTGGCGAGATCTCCTCAGCACCAGCCGTGACGCAGCCGTGACGCCGTCACCCTGACCCCCACCCTTAAAGCCGTACCTGCAGACTGCCTCTGGAGCAGTACTCTGTGACGATGCAGCAGTTGGGGGGGTCGATGCACGCTCCAATGAACCTGGTCAGGTGTTCATTCTGGACGTCTCTCATCTGCACAGACGAAAACATTCAAAGGCTGAATTCACAGGAAAACACGGGGAGCATGACTCCGCCCTCGATGACGCCCACTGTGGAAACAGAGTAAAGTTGGCGTCTCATTGGACGGCCACTTCAGCGTTCAGGAAGTCCTCTCTGTGCGTCCAACACGTGGCAGCGCTGTGTTCATATGTAACAAAATAAAGACGTCAGTGTGCCCGTGTCACCGAGCTGACACAGCCTCACGTTTGTGCTCTCTGCTCATGTTGGTTTCATATTCAATCATTTTGAGAAATTATTTTAACATTTCACGGACTGAAGGGACATTTCACAGTGTTGCCCATCAGACCTCCTCAGACTAGGTCCAGGTCCAGACCATGAAGCCTAGAATTACCCTGACCTGGACATCGTTCAGGTCGTTACATCAGTGATGTAAATCCAGAAGCTCAAGTCTGGAGAAGAATAACAGGAAGTTGACCGTGGAACCACGTGTGGCCTGAGAACATGTGACACAGATCGTCTGTTTTTAATTAGCTGAATATTACATTTTCTTGAATGTGTGCAGTGTATGGATTAAAATGACCGAACCGTGTTTAACCTGAACTGGGTAAACTGGGAGAAATAAATGAATGGATGTTTGGATGATGAAGGCCCCACTGTAGCTGCACTGACCCTGCTGGGAGGAGCTCATGCTGGCTGCTGTACTGTACTGGTGAGCCTGGTCCTGAACAGGAAGCAGACAGTAAATGTTCCCGTTCGCTTAGCCACTCTGAGCTGTTAGCTTAGCCGGTGCTAATGGTCACGTGTGACGTGTCAGACACTCACGTGTTTGAGCTCAAACAGCACCTTCCTGTTGAGCTCGATGCGTTTCTTGTTGATGTATTTGATGGCCACGATGTTCCCCTGGAAGAAAACAAAGAGCAACATACCAAAAGTCAACAACAGCCGTGTAGAGGAAGAACATTATATATATATGTAGTATATACATTGGGTGAATGTGCAGTAGTAGGTGAGGAGGTTGAGGAAGATGAGGAGGGTGAGGAGGGTGTGGAGGCTGAGGAGGGTGTGGAGGCTGAGGAGGGTGAGGAAGGTGAGGAGGCTGAGGAAGATGAGGAGGGTGAGGAGGGTGTGGAGGCTGAGGAGGGTGTGGAGGCTGAGGAGGGTGAGGAAAGTGAGGAGGCTGAGGAAGATGAGGAGAACGAGGAGGCTGAGGAGGGTGAGGAAGATGAGGAGGGCGAGGGGGTGAGGAGGGTGTTGTTCGGATGCCCAATGATCTGGTTTCTCTCAGTCAGCCACACTGAGACCAGCGCGTGAACAAGGGCTGGTTTAGGCCACTAGTGTTGTAGGACTCCATGTTTCACTTTAGTGAACACCAGAGATGGGCAGTAACGCGTTACTGTAATCTGATTACTTTTTTCAAGTAACGAGTAAAGTAAGGGATTACTATTGCAAAAACGGTAATTAGATTACCGTTACTTTCCCGTAGGAACGCTGCGTTACTGCGTTACTAAAACCGTGATTTTTTGCGAGAATGTCTCACGACAGTGACGTAAGCGAGTGCGACGTTCGTGACAACAGCTGTGTGCAGATCAACAGTGGATCACATATCGAGTGCAGAGAGAGTATGAGCGTGCAGCGTTTAAAGCGTGGAAGTACTGACCTTACTTTGAGTTTGATTCCATAAAAAGTGACAAAAACATTAGTGTCCGCTGTGCGTGGGAAGAAAACTTCTTTTTACAGCGAAAAAACCCCTAAACTTCCAACAAGCACCGAGTAGCTACGACGTAATGGGAAACTCACAGAGAAACTCGCGGATTCTTCCACTGACCGCGGCACACCTGCACCAGGGTAACCCTCCGCCTACCCCACTCCTGCTTTACAGGTGAAAATAGAGCAACAGGACCGCTGAGTCTTTGACTTTATTTATTTTCTGCTGTGTTTTACTTGCATCTATTTGAAAGACTGAGTGTAAACACACAAAATATTTTATTTTATGTGCTGGAATGTGCAGAAAATAGGTTTAAATGTTAAACTAATTTCTTCCAGTCAGAGAATGTTGCAGATAATTAAATGTTTGCTTGATGCATAAAGTTAAAAGATTAAAACTAATAAAACAAGTTTTAAAAAGAGACTTTTCCATTTGATTACATTTTGTATGATGGATTATGCAGAAAAAGTAGAATTGGGCTGAAAGATCTATCGCTTTATCACCTATTCAGGTTGTAAATCGTGTTTTTAAAAGTAACTAAGTAACTAAGTAATTAATTACTTTTGAAAATAAGTAATCAGTAAAGTAACGGGATTACTTTTTTGGGGAGTAATCAGTAATTAGTTACTGATTACTTTTTTCAAGTAACTTGACCAACACTGGTGAACACAGCTGGCTGATGTGAAGGTGGGTCACTGTAAGGTGGGACCTTCCAGTTTGCTGGCCGGATGAATTTATTGGAAGAGGAGCTGAATGAGAGAGAAGAGTTCCTGAGGTGGGAGGTAGACAGGCTCAGGTAGGTAGACGGTGTTTCCTCAGGATGCAAAGAACGTGGCCGGAGCGCACGCTCAGCTGTCCGCATGATCCCAAAAAGCTGCAAAGAAGTCAGTTTGGGTGCTGGAGATCACATGTTCCAGCAGAAACTATTCACAGCCTCACACGTGAAACCAGAGTTCACCCTGATGTCCGGTGTTGTGTGTCGATTAGCTCGGCCGCTTCCAGGAACTCCAGCCAGCAAATCCTGGATTGGAACGAACTCGAGATGCTGAGACTCCAGGCTGGATAAGCACTCCAGTGCTGAGCCTTGGGACAGCTGGTCCAGGTTTATGCACGAAGGTGTCTCGCACTCACGCCATTCAGTCACATCAGAATCATAGAAAACGTCAACACTGATCAGAGAGGTCCATGTCCAACGTTACAGCCATGTTTCCCACTGTTGTCAGCGCTGAAGACAGCGTCTTAGGAAGCACAGACACGTGAAGTGATGTACCTGGGGTTTGGGAACGTCAGCCACATACAGCGATGAAATACTGGAACGTATTTCAACTGTGAGCTGTGAAGCAGGGACGGGTTCAGACTCTGATTGTTTATCAGCACGTATCCATGTATAAGACAAAGCTGACGCTGTGAGGCTCCATCAGAGGTGTGAGCATCACCGCAGACGTCTTTGTGTCAAAGTAACTGAGGATAAAACATGAAGCAGGTTTTCCTGTTCTGGCTTTTTATAGCAGAGAAGCTTCGAACTCTTCTGCAGTCGATCAAAGACTGAAGCAACCTGATGCTGCTGAAGTGAAGCAGAGTCACAGAGGTTCGATCACAGCTGAGCAATCACTGAAGTCTAAATGTCCTCAGTCTGAACAGAGATGAGGCTCTGCTGTCAGAGGCCGACAGCAGCGAGCGCAGCAGCGGAGCGTGAGCAGCAGGAGACGGAGATTTGATGGTAAAAGTCTGAGTGCACTGAGGGAGAGAGAGCTGTGCAGGAAGTAAAATAGCCAAAGTCAGAGAGAATTCATGACGACGTTTCTCAAACGTGAAGTTTGAGCTTCTTTCTGGTTCTGTCAGTTTTGGTCAGAGAGACGAAACCTGCAGAATCTGAGTGTTTCAGCCCCGACGTCTGTGGACGATCCACGCTCTGTGGACGATCCACGCTCTGTGTTTCTGCTCTCATCTCCTGGTTGAGCTGATTCTGGAGTTTCTGATAAATTACATTTATATTTAAATCCAGGATTTAATGAATCGAGATCACTTTATTCAGACCAAAATCGATTTGAATCAGGAAATAGATTTTTAAAAGCCAGCCCTGGTGTGGACGTGGATATGATGAAGGATAACATGACACCGCAGTCGGCTCTGTGAACATTTAAGACTTGTTAGTTACACTAAAACACAGATTTCTCTGAAGAGGTCAGGAACAAATGTCCACACAAAGCAAACCTGCGTGGAAGATGCCTCCACCCACCCATTCATCCTCACGAGTGTCAGCATGATGCTCTGCCTCTGCCTGTTTCCTTTCACACCTTCAAACCAAAGCCCTGAATGAACAAACATTTTCCTTCATTGCTGTTTGTCATTACAAAGCTGCTCTTATCCTGCTTGCTTCTTTTCTCCAGTGCCAGTTTTCACTGGTGAACACTGTATTAGTATTGCGTATGAAACGCTGAGTGCCCCTTCACCTGCACAGTCACTGACTGTCTCAGGCAGTGGTTCAGTTCTGTCAAATGAACTGGAAGTTGGTAAAGAGACAAAACGTTGTTGTGCGTCTGAGTGTGGATCGCCTGAGAGCTCGGGAACAGGAAGAACACGCTGAAGGACTTTAGGATGCTGTCTGTGGGTTTAAGGAGCCGGTTTTGCTCATCATTTCCTTTCAGCGATCGCTGAATGTCTAAAGAGGCTAAAAACGAAGGCAGCTGCTGAAAGTTAAAACGTTTCTTTAAATTTTAGACAAGTTTAAAGTTCTTCTTTAAGCTTGTCTACCAGGATGTGGATGACTGTGCCAGAGGTTTCCCATCAGACCAACCTACCAACAAGAACACGACTCGCCTTAGTGCGGTGCGTCCTGAGAGCGCCACCTTTAGCTTTCACCACTCTCTTTCTGTTGTAGCGTTGTCATAGAAACGCAGAGCCATGTTTGAGCGCCGCCTGCTCAGACTGACCATACAGCTGCAGCTTTGGTTCAGAGGTGGACTTTGGTGTGAGACTGGAGCTGGTTGGACTGGATGTTGATTGGTTAGATCATTGTTTATAGTTGGACGTGGTTAATAGATATTGTTGGACATTGTTTATGAGGTATTGGCTTGTAGTTGGACTCTGTGCTGTTACGATTGTCTCGGACAGTTTTCTGGCTGGTTTTTGACTGGCTGGTCACTGTTGTTGGTTTTGGCTGATGTTGGACTGGTTTAGTACTTCATATAGGGTTGGATTGTTTTGGAGCGATTCTGGGATTTTACTGGGATTACACACTGACCGTAATCCCAGTAAAAGCCGGTCAAGCAGTTTTCTTATAGTTCACAGGCGAAAGCAGAAGTCCTGGATTCAGATGAGTCATTTATTATCCCGTGATCTCGTAAAGACTAACCTTCACTCGTCTGCGTTGGCCCTTCACACACACATGCACACGCAGACACACTAAGCAAGCACACAGCGATTCCTGGAAAGTAAGGCATGACCTCCCAGGAACACGTAAACTTCCTGGGGTCAGTGTTAACAGCTGCAGGTGTGACTCATGTTGTGAGGACATAGATGTGTTTACATGGTCACATTCTGCGGTCCTGAGTTCCTCGTGGGGACGAACTCGTAAATCATTACATGTTAAAGTCACGGGGAGGTTAGGGTTGGTCGAGCTGAAGTTAATGTTAGATCGGATTTCCAGGAAGAAGACATGACTGTGCGTGTGTGTGTGGTCCACATATATTTATGATTTTTTAATAAGCTGACATTAAAACAGCAGGAAAGCTCGCTGTCCAATCAGCACGTCTCTCTAAATGTCATCCTTGGACCGCCGCTCGCCCTCCGTGGACCCGCGCCTCATTGTTACGTGACAGCCAATCGCAGCAAAGATTATGCTTCATGAACATCACTTAGTCCATGTTTTTATTGTCTCGTTGTATCTACGCTGCAGCATTACTTTATTATTGCTTATTATTTATCGATCGCTTGTATTGATCTGAGTGTGCTCTGTTAAACAATCTCAGGGGCTGCACGGCCCAGTTTAAGATAAAGAAGGATTATTTTGAACCGTAATCATGCAAAGCTGCTCACGATGGGTGTCCTTGGCTGAATGTGCTGTTCATGTTTTTGAGTTTTATTGGTTCTGTTTGTTTGAAATGTTTCTTTGTTCTTTCCTCCTGAAAGCATCAGAAATCAAAACTTTGTCTTTTGGAGTCAGCAGATAAGAACACAAGAGACCGAAACCCTG